CTGCAGCGGAAGTGCGGAGTCTTAACCACTGGACCGCCAGGGAAGTCCCTCCCATGTTTCTAACATATAAAAATATTCCTGTGATAATTCCTCTTTTCATGGTGAATCTAATGTGATCTTACAGGAAACTTTAGGCTTTCTTCAATCTCCAAGTAAGATGAAGGTGGTATTATACGTTAAAGAAGTCTGGTGGAAATATTTATTTTGACTGTACAAAGTTTGTTGCGGATGAAGGGGTCGAAAACGAGGGAGAAATTCATCACATGTATTCTGGAGAGAGTCCATGCATCTTCCTTTCACCATCCTTCATGCCTGTCAACTCTCTATTTGCAAATGAAATAATGATGCCATTATTTATCCTGTTGCTGCATTTCTTGCTTATAATAGTATTTGCCATTTTTTCATCCTTATCTTTCTTGGCCTCTCTGTGGCCCGCAGCATTGCTACTTCTGCTTCTGACAACTCCCCTCTCTTCTTGGAATTCCTTTGGGCTTGTAACTCCTGAATTCTAAGCCCCCCTAGACTTGCTCTGAGCTCCAATCCCTCAGCTCTAACTTCCTACAAAACACTCCCCCCTGGAAAGTTAGCATCCTCAAAACTCAAGTCGCCATTTCCGCCCATCTCCTCACCTTGAACCTGTGCCTGCCCCAGGGGTCCACTTTCAAGGACCAGCACCCAGTGGCTGAAACCTGGCATCTCCCACTCTCCCCTGCCCCACATGGTTGGTCACCTGGTCACGTTAACAGGACCTCTCACATCATCTCTTCCGAGCCTGCCCCTTGCTCTAATCACTGCCTTATTTCAAGCTTTCATCATTCCTCACCCAGGTTTCTGCACGAGCCAGACTCCTAGGTGTCCCAGCCTCTAGGTGTGCTCCCCTCGTCTTCCAAGTCAGCCTCCCCACTGTCGTGAGTCCGTTATGCCCTTGTCTAAAGTCACTGGTTACAATTCCAGCTTATTAGGGCATTCAGTGGCCCTCGCGTGTGACACCTGCTTGCTGTTCCTGCCTCATTCCCCTCCAAGTGACTACACATGCTCCCAAACGTGGGAAGACATGCCCCACACACTCTCACGCCAGCCTGTCTCCGTATTTGCACGTTCCCTCTGTCAGGAGCTCCCCTTTCTCTTATTTGCTTGGTTAATTCCGACAGCTCAAATGTCACTTCTCCAGGGAGCCTTCCCTCACCTGACCCAGCCTATCCCCTCCACTGTTCCCCAAACCACCAGGGGCCAATCTGAGCATCTACACAACCTAGACTTTTTCTCTTTCTCCTAAAACTCACTCCACTGTAGTACTGCTGCTTCTCGACCCTTCCTCCCCTCCCCAACTCTGCTCGAGGGGGTGGGAACTGTACTGAGTTCATCTCCTCAGCCCCAAGGCCCAGCGTGCAGACTCAGCTCAGCACACACTTGCTGGGTGAAGGAAGAGAATCACAGGGGGAAAGGGGGGACCCACCTTACTTGTCTCCTGCGGATGTTTTCTTGCCCTGGGCCCTATGCTGTCACTGCCCTTTCCTCAGTGTCACCATATCTGAGTTAAGGGATGTCTTTAGATGGCAAAAATCACCGGCCTCTTTTAAGCAGTATATCCAGTGACCTCTGCTAGCAAACTGTTCATTCAGCGTAGCAGCCAAAGTCCCGATAACGGCCTCGAGGTCCTGCCACTTTGTCTCACTCCTCTATAACCTTTCTGACAATGTCACCTGCAATCCAGACTTTACTATGTCTGCTCCAGACGCATGGGCTTCCTGGCAGATTCTTTGAGAAACTGCAAGCCTGTTCCTGCCTCAGGGTTCTTACAGTTGCCTAGGATGTCAGAATGTTCTTCCTCCCAACAGCTGCCCTTTCAGGTCTTTGCCCCCGTGTTACAGTCTGACACCTCCTTTAACCACCCTGCGCCTCACGCTTCCTATTATTACTGCTTCCCTACTTTGTTTTTCTCCGTAGTGTTTATCTGCCATGCTATATATTTTAATTGTTTGTCGCCGTCAAAGAACGCAAGCTCCCTGTAGGGAGGGATTGTTGTCTGTTTTATTCCCTGCTGAACCCTCAGCATCCAATTCCTGGAACACAGCTCGCACTCAGTGAGTCACCTGGCACACTAGGTTATGCTTTTCAAGCTTTTAGAAAGCAGCACAAACAACAACAACGAAACAGACAACCTGATTTTAAAATGGGCAATGGACCTGAACAGACATTTCTTTAAAGAAGATATATCTGGCCAATAAGAAGCACATGAAAAGATGTTCACCGTCGCTAATCGTGGGAAATACATGCCTACAATGAGGTACCACTTCACACTCATGAGGGCGGCTATTATCTTAGAAAAACAGAAATTAACAAGTGTTGGCAAAAACGTGCAGAAATTGGAACCCTTGTGTACTGCTGGCGGGAATGTAAAATGGTGCAGCTGTTGTGCAAGACAGCATGGTGGTTCCTCAAAATATTGAACAGAATTACCGTATCACCCAACAATTCCACTCTGGGTGTATATTCAAAAGAATCGAAAGCAGGGACTCAAACACCATGTTTATGGTGGTAATGTTCACAACAGACAATGAGAGCAAGTGTCCATCGATGGATGAATGGATAAACAAAATGGTATGTATGCACACAACAGAATATTTATTATTCAGCCTTAAAAAGGAATAAGATTATGACGCATTCTACAACATGGATAATCTTTGAAGACGTTACGATAAGTGATATATGCCAACTACAAAAAGACAAATATTATATGATTCCACTTATAGGAGGCCCCTAGAGTAGTCAAATTCACTGGGACAGGAAATAGAATGGTAGTTGCCAGGGACGGAGGATGGGGAGGGGAAGGGGGAGAGAAGGAAGGGGTAGCTAGTGTTTAATGGGTACAGAGCTGCAGTTTGGGAAGATGGAAAAGTTCAGCAGGTGTATGATACTGATGGTTGAACAACAGTATGAATGTATTTGATGCCACTGCACCGCACACTTAAAAATGGTTAAAATGGTAACTTTTATTTTATGTATAATTTCCCACAATTAAAAGGAAAAAGGCAGCACAGCTCTTGCCTTAAACTCTAATAAGTGGCCTAATACATAAGGCAGGTGGAAGTGAAGCTGCTGTGGCCAAAGCAGGAAGGCAGGGGGAGAGGTGCCGGCTCTGCATGGCATGCCCTTGCTGCCTCCTAGTGGCTCATGGACCCCACAGAGGTTCAGAGCCATCACAAAGGAGGGCCCTGGCTCCATCTTAAAGGGCTTATGCACTGGTTTCACTGTTCTTAAGGAAAGAAAGGTAAAAAGTTACCCCTGGTTGCACTTCTAGGAGGAACTTAGCAACAAGGGAAAACGCCATCACCCACAGGCCTTCAGCCAAATGTCAACACTGACTTAGTTTTACAGAAATCACTTTATATCCAGTGGCAGAGGAGACCTGCCAGGGGAAAGAGCAACACTAAGTCACTGGCACCCATACCCAATTATCACTAATGTCTCACATCTTCTGAGCCCTTTTCCATAAAAACTCAATCCTCAAAATAAGTCCATCAAGAAGGTACGAAAGACATTGTGTCATCTCCAGTTTACAGATGAATGAAAACCCAGCGGGTGTTATCTGCAGAGGATTGCAGAAGCAGAACTGACTTTAGGATAATAATCACTAGCATTGATCAAGGACTTATTAATGATGACACTGGCTCAAGACTTTACATGGACTGTTGGATTTCTTGCTTGCAACTAGCCTCTTCCACCGTATTTGGTAGTTACCATTATTATCCTTCCTTTTTAGAGAAGAGAAAGGGTGAGGCTCAAAGAATAAATAACTATCCCTAAATCCAACAGCTTTAAGCAATGGACTGTTCTGAAACGTCTTACTCCAGAGACCATGCACTTAACCAGTATTATTTTGTCCTGCCCATCTGGGTCCCTGGCTCTCGCTTTTTGGGAGAGGCCTAGTCAGTGCTTCCTTCAGCCTTGAAAGCAAGCACAACTGATGAACCTCCATAGGTCACTGTGTTTTCTAACCCTAAGTTGAACTAATGCTACCAAAATAAGTCAGTACTCTTACTCCCTAAGCATAAATGCAGTAAGACACTATCACTTAGACTAAGAAGAGATTCCTAGATCCTTTACAATCCTATAGAAATTTGCATACAAAAATATCCTAAGACCATCAGAATAAACAGTCACATTGGGGTCATCCCATTTAATGTCTCTTTTCTGTAGGACTAAATCTGCCGATGGACAGAGTACTGACTGTTCCCTATACTTTTCTGAGAGCTTCTTCAGAACTTTCCGAGGATGTCTGCTTTGTTCTCCAGAAATTGGAAAGAGGAGAAACGCTCTGTGGTTTGTCAATAGGGCATCCGGTCTGCAGGGCTGCCCCATAGGATGCAAGGGCTTTGGGCCAGTTGAAACAAATATTAATTTGGAAGAGCATCAAACAAGGCTCCAACTGGGCAACTCTAAGGGGCAGGCAAGGGGAGGAGAGGGGCAGAGTCGTGCGTAGCAGGGCTGCAAGCCGATGGCTTGAGTTCCTCCCACTGCTTCTGAGAGACTTCCAGGTACTATCTCCTTCACAAAAACCTTGAAGTAGCTTCATAAAAACCACCAAACATATATACTAATTCTTGCAGCAAAACTCATATATGATATGGGCGTTTTCTTTACTTTAAAGGTTTAGAACCTAAACACCAGCTGCTCCATTTATTTGTTTGTTTGTTTGTTTACTTTGGCCATGCTGCTCGGCTTGCAGGATCCTAGCTCCCCAACTCAGGATGGAACCCGAGCCCCCAGCAGTGGAAGCTCAGAGTTCTAACCACTGCACCGCCAGGGAATTGAACACCAGCTCTTCCTAACTCCATGTGTCACCTTCGCTGTGACGGTGTGATACCCTGAGCACAGACCTGCCACTCCACTAACCCTGGGGACATGGCTTTTCTCTCTTCCATTCCGACCATCCCACGACGGGGCCACAGTGTGCATGTTCCTCTCACCCGAGAGCAGGGCATGAAGGAGGGTCTTACCGAGTTCTCCTTCAGCTGCAGTCCCTCCCCGTTGGGAAGTGAGGACCGTCTCTTAGCTGAGTTCCTGTTTGGGGTTGAGGTAATGGCCCCTGCTTTCTTCTTCACGGTGAGCACCTCACAGCTGGCTTGGTCTTCATTGTGTGTGCTCTTCCCGGCATTGATAACCCTGGAGGAGAAGCCAGAAAAGCCGGTCAGACAGAGTGACATCTGGAGAGCTGAGAGCCCAGTCTCTCAGGTCAGCCCAGGCAGGCTTCACAACTGGCACAAAACGAATGCCCTACTTAATGCACAGGACCTTACAGGCTTGGTGGAGTAAATGGATTTTTTTTTTTAATGTAATTCTACTAGCATATGTTAAAACATGTGCTAAAGCAATGTGCTGAGGTCAGCTCACCTTCGCAGGTGTCTGATAAACGTGATCAACCCCACCAATCCACTTCTAGTCAAAACACTCGAGACAATCACTCTTTTTGCCAATTACATTGAAGACAGACGGCTGGCTCAGGGAATTCTGTTGCATTTCTCCAAGTGATAGAGCAAAACCACCATCAATCTTATCAAAGAACAAGGCAGTAATTTACAGCACACTGTAAAATCCAAGAGAACAGAGAACTGTATTTCATGACTGCCATGACCACTTTTACTTTACACAGGGAGAAGTGAACGGATCAAAGGTTTATTCTTTTAAAATTATCTTCACTCCTTTATCTTTTCTCAGGTAGAATAACACTCCTCACGTTGCATCATCACAACAGACTATAGGGCATGCTGATTTGTACGTGTGGCCCTATGATCTCATGGCATGTTGATATTCTTTGGCCTAATTACTAATGTTTTGAGCACAGGAATGCTTCAGAAAAACATGCTACATCATTCATAGACCTTCTTCTGTACAGGTGACCGCAGAATGAACTCTTGGGTTTCGGTACCATTTTCTTATTAAGTAATTAAGCGGCAGCTAAATTAGTTTTCCTGAAAGAGGGCTCTCCTTGATTTGCCATTGGCTGTGTTTTCTTTCCAAAATTTCAACAGTGTCACAGTAGGTGACAGAGTGAGTGTGGAGGATACAGACTCAGTGGCAAGGAAAGAAAGATGCTTTTTTTCGAAATAAGGTAAGATAGATGGAAAACCACTTTAAAAGTGTGGTATATACACCACTCAGTCTTGTTGTACTCCCTCCTAACAATTAATTAGAAGATGATCATTTTCAAATGACTTTTTATAAAGAATTTTAAATTCTGAAATAATTATAAACTCAGAGTAAACTGCAAAAATAGTATAGAGAGTCTCATGCACCCTTCACCCAACTTCCCCCCAAAGCAACATTTTATATCACTCAAGTACAATATCAAAACAAGCAACTGACACTGATCCAGCACTGTCAACCAGACTGCAGACCTTATTCAAATGTCACCATTTTTTATATCAAATGGCTTTCAGTACTGAAAACTGTATACACGCTACAATCAAACAGGAAACAGAGCAAATTGAGATCTGAGTGCTGTAAGACTTCAGGGAGTGTGTTTTGAACAGTCTTCTGCCAAACCTTGGGATTCTATGGAGGTGTTTCAGATGTTTTAACATTTACTTTAAATTTATTTTTTAAATGTATAAGCATTTTGGAAAAAACTGCAATAATTTAAAAGTTGATTCCCATCTGTTACATGTGAACAAATACATGCTAGTCTATGTATTTTGGGCAGCTTTGGCATAATAATCCTTCTATCTTTTCTCTTTGACCGGTATCACTTGATTGGAAGAAGATCTGTTTAAAAAAATACCATTTGAGGGACTTCCCTGGTGGCGCAGTGGTTAAGAATCTGCCTGCCAATGCCGGGGACACGGGTTCAGGCCCTGGTCTGGGAGGATCCCACATGCCGCGGAGCAGATAGGCCCGTGTGCCACAACTACTGAGCCCGTGTGCCACAACTACTGAAGTCCGCGTGCCTAGAGGCCGTGCTCCGCAACAAGAGAAGCCACTGCAACGAGAAGCCTGCGCACCGCATCGGAGAGTAGCCCTCGCTCGCCACAACTAGAGAAAGCCCGCGTGCAGCAACGAAGACCCAACGCAGCCAAAAATAAATAAAAAAATAATTTTTTGCAATTACTTATCTATGTGTAATAGGAAAAAGATCACAAAAGTCATCTACTATCTCCGCTATTTCAAATTTCTGTTCACTGAAACTGCTTTATCATTCTTCCTGAGTTTATTATAAATTTCAACTTAACCATATTTTTATAAATGGAAGTCTTTAACTCATTTTACACACGACAGTTTTGTGTAAGATTCTTTTTTTTTTTTTTAAAGTAGATTGTTGCTTACAGAATATGAAGACCATTGTCCTCGTGGCGGGGGTCCCTCGTAGGAGGCAGGGGTCCCTGCTGATCTCTGTGAGGTCAAATCTGCCTCCACACCCTCTCAGGGATGAAGGGAGGAAAAGGTCAAGGTCTAGTTTTCGGCCCCACCTTCACTCTCTCCTCTAAGGAGGAGGCGTTTTCACAAGGTTTAAGAATACAATGCTGAGAACCTACTGTAGAGCACAGGGAACTCTACTCAGTGCTCTGTGGTGACCTAAATGGGAAGGAAATCCAAAAAAGAGGGGACAGAGGTATACGTATAGCTGATTCGCTTTGCTATACAGCAGAAACTAATATCACTGTAAAGCAACTGTACTCCAATAAAAAAAAATTTAAAAAGAATACAGAGCAATTCTTGACGACACGATGAAGACACACACTACCTGCCTAAGACCATTAATACCACTATGCTTGCTGCCCAAGCTAAGTAAGTTATCCCAAGTTCCACAGCCAGGAAGGAGCGCTGCTGGGATTCAGAGTGAGGCCTCCTTTGACCCCCAGTCCAACCTCTTCCTATTATACGCGGGGATTTGCATCAGTCGGTGGGAGGACCAGCTGGACTGTGTGGGGGGAAGCACGGAATAAGCAGATTAGGCAAGCTCGGGTCCGTGCCTGAAAGAAAGGGGATTCTCTCCCTGCTTCTCTAGCTACTGGAGAAGGCACCCAGAGGAAGGATGAAGGATGGATGGTTCAGATCTGCCTGTCTCTAGAGGAGCCCACGTTTAGTCCAGGTGTTTGCAGCTGGAGCTCCTAATACAGAACATGCATTTGTCTGGAGTTTCCCTTTCACATGGATTTTTGGAGAATCAAACCAGGCAGAGGAAGGAGATTTAAAATACCACCTGCCTCTTCTCTGTCACTGATAGCGACTTCCAAGCAACATGTCTGGGGCGGATGGTTCGCCGGATGGTGATGTTACACCCCCGTGGTCACCCACTAACATCTTGCCTAGGGAAAGCCAAAGTGGAGGCTCGGCTAGGAAAACAAGTTCGTGACAACCGTCCCCTCCATACTGTCCTCTGAACAAGATCTGGGCTTCTACTTCTGGAACTTGGCATCACCCTGACCATTGGGACCCAAAAAACAACCTGACTAAAGCATAACTTTAACAAAAAAAAGCATCACTGATCTCCGAAAGCTACATGCCAGGTTGACTCATCTGCCACTGCTGTTTTCCAACAGTCAACAAAGCTACGATAATTACATAAGTCACAAACCACTGTCCCTTGAATGTGCTATGTATCTCCTATCTCTCTTGGGGGATATTAAATTCCAAAGTTGACCTAACTTCAGCAAGAGACCCTAGAAACTTTACTGTATGCATGAGAAACCCAGGGCCCAGGAATACTGTGGCTTACACAAGGTCACACAGCTAAATACAGCAGAGTCCCAGCTCTTTCTGCTTCAGCTCTCTGTTGTTTAATTTTTCTATTGTGTGTCTATTCTTATCAGCACTTGGTTGAGAAGGCTGTCCAGCAATGACTCATCAAAGCCAGGGAACCGTGAAGAACAATCAAGGGTACACTTCCTTTGCCATTTCAAGCGAATACAGCTTGTGAATGACACTGACGAAATATCAGGAAGTCAGAAACGTCAACCTAGAGGGAAGACAGCAGCCCCAGCCCTGGAAGATATCTGATTATTATCCAGATGACAATCATTTTAATGAAAGCCATTGCCTTTTTAAAACACACAACTGCTATCCAATATTTCATATTATTTCAAATTCCTGACTCTGTACAGCTTTAGTAGAAAGACCTGATTCTTCTCAATTTATTTTGGCTTTAAAAAGCTTGACCTGGGGATTCCCTGGTGGCGTAGTGGTTGGGAGCCCACCTGCCGATGCAGGGGACGTGGGTTCGTGCCCCGGTCCGGGAAGATCCCACATGCCGCGGAGCGGCTGGGCCCGTGAGCCACGGCCGCTGAGCCTGCGCGTCCGGAGCCTGTGCTCTGCAGTGGGAGAGGCCACAGCGGTGAGAGGCCCGCATACCGCAAAAATAAATAAATAAATAAAAAGCTTGACCTCTATCAACTTAAATATTTCATTTTGTCCTTCAAAGGCAAATGCTTTGTTTACTAAATATAAATAAAACCTCCAATTCCTCTAAAAGTAAACGGAGGAAAACTGTTTTCTGAGTTCAGAAGCATCATTCTGTCAATAGGTTCAATTTTTTTTTATGTGAGCAACTGTATCATTCCCTTCTTATCATAGGCTCCAGCAAAAAGTCAGCACTATCTTGAGATCAACAGGAATGACTTCAAGATGTCCTTTCTTTAAGCAATACCCACCCGTGATGCTTATTTTGAAGACTTAAAGACAAAACGTTGGTGGACCACAAATCATCATCTCTTTGGTGTCATTATTTTCCAATTTCCTACAAAGGAGGAGAACATCTTCCTTGAAATTAAACTGGAAGTAATAAAGCACAATGGTTATGACATGGGCTATCTCCCCAGAACATAGCACACAGCAGGTGTTCAACAAACATCTGCTGAAACAATGAATGAAACCAGACAGAAATCAACTCTGCTACTTCCTAGATGTAGGGTAATAACAGTATCTAACACTTGTTGAGAACTAATTATGTGCCAGGGACTGTTGTTAGCATTTTACATGTAGTAATTAACTCATGTAATCCTCTGTGGACTCTAGGAGTTGGCCACTACTGTTCTCCTCTTTTTAAAGTCACAACTACTGGACAGCAGAGTGTTTGGTCAAGATGCTTAACTTCTGCAAACCTCAGTTTCTTAGTAGTACTTCTCAGATTAAATTCTGGGAGTTGCTAAAATATATGTGTTCGGGAGAGG